CCCCCTCAACGGGAGCCCCTCGGCGACCCACCCGGCTTACCCGGATGCCGCCGGTGAAACCCGCGGAGCAGACCAGGAGCCAGAACTGCCGACCGGGGCACCCAGGAACATTCCCCTGGCCCGTAGCCCTCCCAGTCCACCAGGTACTGAATGCCCCTCCCCCGCCGCCGAGAGTCCATAATGCGGGTGATGTTAAACACTTCCTGCCCATCCACGAGCCGGGCGGGCGGAGGGGGCCTGGAAGGAGGGCACAGTGGGCTGGAGAGCACGGGTTTGACCTGGGAGACATGGAAAACATTATGGATACGCATGTTGCGAGGCAGCTTCAGACCGACAGACACCGGATTGACCAGGGCCTCGATCTGGAACGGACCGATGAACGCCGGGGAAAGTTTCTTCGACTCAGCACGAATGGGAATGAAGCGTGAGGAGAGCCATACCTGTTGCCCAACCGTATAGGCAGGTGCAGGGATCCGGCGGCGGTCGGCGAGCGCCTTATTGCGCTCCGCTGTCCGCAGCAGAGCGGCTTGGGTGGACCGCCAGGCCCGGCGGCACCTGCGGAAATGATGTTGCACTGATGGGACGGTATGCTCACCTTCCACGGCCGGGCACAGGGGTGGTTGGTAGCCCAGTGAGGCTTTGAACGGCGACAGTCCAGTGGCTGATGAGGTCAGGCAGTTGTGGGCATACTCAATCCAGGGGAGTTGCTCGCTCCAAGTGGTCTGGTTGTGAGAGACGACACAGCGGAGTGCTGCTTCGAGCTCTTGGTTGGTACGCTCGGTCTGTCCATTGCTCTGAGGGTGGAAGCCCGAAGAGAGACTGACCTTGGTGCCGATCTGCGTGCAGAACTCCTTCCAAGCCCGAGAGGTAAATTGGGGTCCCCGGTCGGAGACGATGTCCATCGGAATGCCATGAAGCCGGAAGACGTGGGTGGTGAGCAGCTGGGCGGTCTCCAGGGCCGTAGGGAGCTTTGGGAGGGCAATGAAATGAGCTGCCTTAGAAAAACGATCAACGATAGTGAGGATGGTGGCGTTACCTGATGACGATGGGAGCCCCATAATGAAGTCCAGCGCTATATGGGACCAGGGCCGTCCTGGCGTGGGGAGCGGTTGAAGAAGCCCGGCGGGTGGTCGGTTGGGACTTTTGTTCTGGGCACATGTGGTGCATGCCATAACGTACTCCCTGGCATCCTTGTTCAAGGAGGTCCACCAGAAAAACCGCTGGAGGAAGGTGATGGTGCGGCGGGCTCCTGGATGACAGGTGAACCGGGCAGTGTGGCCCCAGTGGAGCCACTGGGGCCACACTGCCCCAGTGGCAGTGTGGCCGGACAGCAGCAGGGACAAACAACCGACCAGGGGGGCCCGTGCCTGGGTCGGGGTCAGTATCCTGGGCCTCACGCATGAGAGCTTCGATCTCCCATGTGACAGCTCCAATAACACAAGTAGCTGGAAGAATCGGTTCAGGATCGGAGTCCCCCTCCATACTGGAAAACTGACGGGAGAGTGCATCGGGCTTCACGTTGCGCGACCCTGGTCTGTAAGTGATGGAGAAATTGAATCTTGTGAAGAAGAGGGCCCACCTGGCTTGCCGTGAATTTAGGCATTTGGCGGACCGGATGTACTCAAGGTTCTTATGGTCGGTCCACACGATGAACGGGTGTTCCGTGCCCTCAAGCCAGTGCCTCCACTCCTCCAGGGCCAGTTTGACCGCTAGCAACTCCCGATCACCGATGCCGTAGTTCTGTTCTGTGGGTGAGAGACGACGAGAAAAGAACGCACAGGGATGGCGCGTCCCTTTGAATCGCTGTGACAGAACTGCTCCCACTCCAGAGTCCGAAGCATCCACCTCCACCACGAACGGTTGCCTGAGGTTGGGCTGACGGAGGATGGGGGTGGTAGTGAACTTCTCCTTTAGTAGGGAAAAGGCCTCCTGAGTAAAGAGGTCCCACTGAAAAGGAACTTTGGGGGAGGTAAGTGCGGTGAGAGGTGAGGCAATCTTACTGTAGTCCTTTATGAAGCGTCGGTGGAAGTTGGCGAATCCTAGGAACCGTCGGAGTTGCTGGCGGTTCGGCGGTTGAGGCCAGTCCACCACGGCCCGGACCTTCTCAGGGTCAGGTTTGAGATCCCCCCGAGAGATGATATAGCCAAGGAAGGCCACCGTGTCAACGTGAAATTCACATTTCTCCGCTTTCACGAACAGTCGGTTCTCCAGGAGGCGCTGCAGGACCTGCCTCACGTGACTCTCGTGCTCTGCCTGGGACTTAGAGAAAATGAGAATGTCATCAAGGTACACAAAAGCACATCGATTAATAAAATCCCTCAGAACATCGTTAACTAGGGCCTGGAAGACCGCGGGCGCATTGGTTAAGCCAAAGGGCACGACGAGATACTCGAAGTTTCCAATATGTGTGTTGAAAGCGGTCTTCCACTCATCTCCTTCCCGGATTCTCACCAGGTGGTAAGCGTTTCGCAGGTCTAGTTTGCTGAACACCGTGGCCCCCTGGAGTAGCTCGAAAGCTGAATTCAGGAGGGGAAGAGGGTACTTGTTCTTTACAGTGATCTTGTTGAGGCCGCGGTAATCAATACACGGCCGGAGCGTCTTGTCTTTCTTGTCAACAAAGAAGAAACCTGACGGGCGAATTATCCCGGCAGCCAGAGAGTCATTGATGTATCTTTCCATGGTTTCCCTTTCGGGCTGTGTGAGGCTGTAGAGGCGGCCAGAGGGCAGAGGCGCCCCAGGGAGAAGATCGATGGCACAGTCATAGGGCCGGTGTGGTGGAAGCGAGCTCGCCTCATCCTTACTAAAAACTGCTGTGAGGTCATGATAGACGGAAGGAACTGAAGATAGCTCTGGCGCTTTAGAAGGCTTCCCGGAGATGGAAGAAGGGACAGAAGGCGCGGCGGCCTGAAGGCAAGTCATGTGGCAGCCCATACTCCACCCCATAACTTGCTCTTTCTTCCAGTCGATGTGTGGGTTGTGTTGTGAAAGCCATGGATAACCTAGTACGAGCGGGGTCACTGGTGCCTTAAACACACAGAAGCAAATGTTCTCAACGTGGTTACCGGAGAGAGTGAGTGTGACAGGTAGGGTGATGTGCGTTATGTCAGGCAACCGGTGACCGGACAGGGCGAACAGGCGGAGAGGATGAGGCAGTAGCCATGTGCCAATGTTGAACTTGGAGACTAGCGATGCATCAATGAAATTCTGTTCTGCACCAGAGTCAATTAACACAGAGAGGGAATGGGACAATGATGAAAGATTTTTAATTTTGTGATTATGCTTAGTTGTAGCTTCATTTAAAGGAAGAAGAGCTTGTGAATTGGAACCAACACAGGAAGAGAGATTGAAGCCATATGTGTAGAGGAATGCGGTGACATACGA